TGGTCTGTTTCTTTTTATTTTCCATTCATTTATAATACAAATATGAACAAAAGATTATTTTCAGGTCAAGTTTATTATGTCAAAAAACCACTGTTAATTGCAACCACAGTAGTTGCCTTTAACTTGGCTGTGCGTTCTATGCTGTACATGAAGCAAAGTGGCGAACTTACCACAAATTGGCATGCCACCTGAATTGAATCCTTAAAAATCATTTGTTAAGTTATTGAATTCCTTCAAATATCATAAGTCAATAACGTAAAACCTCCAATAGAGCCCTAGGTGGACTGCTTATTTTTTTTTTTTTTTTTTTTTTTTGGACCCTTTGATGGGCTTCTTTTCGAGATGTGCTTCTTTTTGAGATTAATATATAATTAATTGCTGTAATGAATTGTTTTACAAATATTTTATGATTGTATCTAGTGATTTTTATATTGTATATGCCGCACCCTGCTATTGGCGTCCATTAAATTTTGCGTGAAATGAATTAAAAAATAAAAATAAATAAACATTAGACTGGACGTGTTTCTACATTTTAAACATTAACTTCTATGTTCAAGTTGATAATGTTTATGTTACTTCAAAATGAGCAAGTTTATTTTAGAAACGAGTTTTAGTATTTTTTAGAAATTTTTCATGGGATGAAGGAATACCTTTAAAAGCAGGCTGAGTGATGCACAAGTTTTAATTCATAGTCACATATACAATTTTGTTGTAGTGATTTACAGTCTCTTTATTATTTGATGGATATCATAGGCCTATTTTTCTTGGTGGCAAAAACAAAAGGCGAAGTGTCTTATTATAAACATCAAACGTCTTTTTGGAGAAATATATTCGCTCGATCTGGCATCCGCTCGAACTAACATTCCATCGAATTTGCATCCAGTCATGATCCAGTCCAGTATTGTGCAGTGAGGCGTAACTACTACTAGACTACAGTACAGTACTGTATAATAAGGACCAAAAAGATGTCGAAGGAAAAGGCAAAGCCAAAGATAAGTCTTAGCAAGAACTTATTAGCAGGTGGATTTGGGGGAGTTTGCCTTGTTTTTGCCGGGCATCCACTAGATACTATAAAGGTAATGTAGGCCTAGCTAGGCTAGCAAGGCTCAGGCTCCTAGGCCTACGTCCTAGCCCTAGCTAGGCTACCCACCCTACTATCTAGGGCCCATGCTGCCCGTGAAGCCTAGCCTAGGCTGGTTTAGAAGGCCTACTAGGAGGCCTAGGTAGGGCCCTAGTCGAGCGAGGACTGAGCCTAGGCTAGCAGTAATCTTTCATACACAGCATAAAACAAGTCAGAAGAATGCTGGTCACATCGGCCCAAACAAAACCAAATCGGCCCAAAAGGGCCAAACCAACGGACCCAGACGACACTTCGGCCCAAAACCAACTAGGCCTAGGCCTAGACCCAAAACCAGCTTAGACCAAAACCAGCTTGGCCCAGAGGACAACTACCCAAATGATACAGAATTACCCAAATGAATAGTGATCACGATTACCCATTACCCAAATGACAACTATTATTATTTTAGTATCTTATTAATATTATTTTATAGGTCTAATATTATTTTTTAGTATAACTAAACTATTCTTATTATTTATTTTTATATTATCTGAATTATATATTTTATAATTATATTATATTATTCCACGGGGTGGTGAGAGAGGGAAATTACCCCCAAACATGGAATGCAGATTTCTCTGGCCATTGGAGAATGTTTAAAACTGACCAGCCCAGAACATCTTGGTGGCAAAGGGGTGGTGGTGTCGTTCCCCTGATGATTTCGTGTTTTTTTTGTTTTTTTTTCTCCCGACAGGTGGGAGAGGGGAAAGCTCTCCCTGAAAATGTGATTCCGAACTGTAATATAGATAGGCCTAGTAGGCATTTATTAACAAGATATTCATATGATAGAAATGTTGTAGCACGGCTTCATGTATGAGTACCATTGCAAAATCTTGGTTTGCATGTGTTGTGACTTGTGACCAATGATTAAAGCAAGTAACCATGATAAGAGTAGCTTTCGGATTGCACAATGACGATAGACGTAATGACCTCACATAAGTCATCTATTCTTCCAAGAACATTGAGTACTCATTGTCGTCTAAATTAGGAGGCCAGTTTGGCCTAAATCTGTATTTTAATAGGTCTATGCTAGGTCTAAACGATATATTTTTCATTCTCAGGTGAGGCTGCAAACACAAGTGACTTCTGGAGATGCAAGACTTTATAAAGGAACATTTGACTGCTGCAAGAAAATCCTAATGAAGGAGGTAAATCATATTTTACCATTATTAATTCACAAATATTCAATATACTGTAGAAAAATTCACATTAAGGGCTTGTATGTTGTTCGTCAACTTTTTAGTAAGTTTTTTTTACTAATTTACAGTACTACAACAATTTTTTGAACTTATGTCCAGCCAATGTGAGGGTATATGCAAAGAATATATAAATTATATTAGTTTGTCCATTAATTGGGAAAGAAAATAATTTTGCAACTGAGAGCAAATAGTTACTTTTATTCAAAGTAATAAAAGGCAAGACTTTTTTTAACCCTGTTTAGTGCACCCGCCGCCACGAAAAAATGGAAATTTCAGAAAAAAATTAAAGTTTTCCTTTATTTTTATTATACCCGCCCCTGCCTTGAAATCTCCAAAAATTTCTTCCTAATTATATAAGCTCTGATGATCATTCAAAAAATAAGTTCACAAAGAAAGGTTTTAAAAAAGTGTCACCTAAGCAATTAATGTCTTTTTTAAAAGCTGATATTTGCTCAAAACTACTGTAGGTTTTAACAACTGACCAATCAGAATTCAGTAGCCAGGAATATGGGCAGGTCCCACAAACAAGTTTACGCTGTTGAATTAGGGGCAGGGCTTAGAAAGGGCCATTGACACCCATGTATGCAAAATATTTTAACTCAATACAAAACAAGCTTTTACTTGCAATTATCCAGGGAGTTTTTGGTCTTTATAAAGGCATGGCCACACCGATTCTCGGTGTTACACCGATATATGCTGTATGCTTTTTTGGCTACGGACTTGGATTGAAACTTCAGAGACCAAACCAATCAAATGGACAGTATGGGTAAGATTCAAGAATTTCTACACTAAATATAATCTCTAAAGTATATTCAAGCTTCTTTGCTGATGTCAATGATAATAATTCTTTATTTTCCTTAATAATGGAGGAATATCAACTTGAAAATTAAAAAATTGGGCTATAGACCTATGACAGCTGCAATGAAAACTTGAAATTGGTATGCAGGACACAAATACAAACACACTACTGGTCTCCCTCCAATTAAAGACCACTTTTGGGACCGGTGTTTTCATGGTCTTTATCAGCTTTTGTCTAATATGAATACAGCTCTCCCTCCAATTAAAGACCACTTTGGGTTTTCATGGTCTTTAGCAGATTTGGTCTCTTATTAGAATAATAAAAGTAAAAGACATTTGTTAATTTTGTGGTCTTTATTTGGAGGGGTCTTTAATTAAAGGGAGACCTGTAATAAAAGTAAAAGACATTTGTTAATTTGGGACCACAGAAAAGTGGTCTTTATTAGAGGGATTTTTAGCGATGATTGTTTACAGGCGGTCACGTGACCTAACTTGGTTATACATGAAAAACATTACAGTGCGATAGCATAGGAAAAGATAATGTTACAAAAATAACCACCCAATGTTAACGTGAGAAGTAAATGGCTTGGAAAAGCAATACGATTGTTCAAAATTGTGTTTATTTATTTATCCTAGCGTTCTCCTTGGATTGTATGCTTTGAAATTTAAGTGATCCTTCATAAACCTTAGCTGGCCCTAACATAGCAGCGTAGTTCGCGGGTCGAAGACCATCATGCATACCTAACCATGCCGTAGATGTGCAGGGGCCTAGGCCTAACATTTGTCGAAAAATCTCAATGTTTGCGGCCAGTATCCTTTACAGCAATCTTAATTACTATACTATTTGAATACTATTTGTTAGTCCCTTCACAGGGCAAAACATACAAACAAGATGCTTTACGTAAGCACGTCTCATACACACACTGCCTCATACAACATCTTTGGTAATGTCTTATATAATGCTTTGAATAGAATAATTGTTTAATTTCAGAGCAAATCAGTTATTTATAGGTGGAATGGTGTCAGGGGCTATGACAATGTTGCTGGTGGCCCCTGGAGAAAGGATCAAGTGCCTGTTACAGGTAATGCTGGAGTCTGTGATGGAAGCGGTCTGTAGGAATATCTGTTGCATTTATCATTTTGATATGCTGACAATCCACTAGACTTGTCAAAAGCCTGTTATTTTTTTATTATTTTTCTCATTCGGAATAGCACCACCAACGAGAAAGTTAATTTAGAGACGGAATAAGCGACTTGTAATATAAGCAACACTGAATGCAGGTACCAGAATACCAAAAGAATGACGTAATCTTATATTCCGTATTTGGATAAATGGGCGGACTGAATTAAACAATTTCAACCAATCACAATGTTCACATTTCGGAGACACAAAACTGAGTCACTCGCGTCGACTATTTAGGCATGACTAAAAAATAGTCCTCCCTAATAAAACGGGCCTAAAATATTTAGAATAGACCCTAGTAAGACTAGTGTGGGCAATGGCAAAAACAATTACTGTAAGCTTTAGCTATCGATGGCATACCATTACAAACACAACATCACTTTCCCTGGAGGGTAGCCCAGGTATCTGCAGTCTAGTAGTAGTAGGCCTGAGGCTTGGCCTATTTTTAAGTTCTCACTTAATATACAGTAGGCCTACCTTTTTTAAGACCACTAAAATTGTATTATTTGGAAGATTAGCCCTAAAATTTGCTCCATTTTAGCCAGTTAAGTGTAGTATCCAAACAATAAAGAGCAGCAAAAAGTATGAATTCCAACTGTGAAATGGGGGTCGTCTTATACGCCAGACATAGAAAAATCATCCAAAAATCTTCTCAAACTTGGGTATCACCTTATAGGTGGATCGCCTTTTACGCGAGAACATACAGTAATTGATTTTTTTTCCAGATACAACAAGCGGCAGGAGGTAAAGGAAAGTATGCCGGACCAGTGGATTGTGCCAAGCAAATTGCCAGAGAGTCCGGTTTATCAAAAGGTCTTTTCAGGGGCACTGTTGCCACGTTTTTGCGAGGTAAAATACCATTTTAACATTTTACTGATGATAATCCATTGTTTATGACAATGGCTTATTCAACAAAGTTGTACATTTATACGATGTTAAATCACCGTACATTTTGTGTCATAATGGTTTTTGTGAGAAATATCGTAGGCCATCTGAAGGTTTCAAGTAAATTTGAATGAGGGCAACCACAATTTTCACAGTTCTCCAAAGAAAGTAATTTTCCAGTTACTCCAAGTTATCTAGTGTTTATTTTAACTACTAATAGTTAAATAAGCAATCGGTGGTCTAGTATTAATTTTCGGATGAAAATAATGTTTTTCATCAACAGCTTGGTATTTATTCATGTTAGCAGATCTAAAAAATCTTGGCATTTTAAATGATTTGTTGTCATTGGCTAGTTTAGTAGTCATTTCTTTCCAGCCATTTCAACTGGACTAAAACTAGAACTTGACTAAATATTCATAATTAAAAGTTTCTTGTTTATGAATGTGAATTGAAGTAGGAACTTAAACTAAAGTTTTTTTTCAAGAATACATTTGCTAGCCACAGAAGGTAAGGCTTTTGCCCATAATATATCTTTGCTTTTTTCTTGGTTTTTAAGATGTTCCCGGAAATGGGGTGTATTTTTTGACTTATGAACTTATGAAAAGAGCCCTCACACCAGAAGGAAAGAGGTACAGTAATTTAATTTTCATCTTAAGTAATAAAATGCCATAGAACATGCACTGAGGTATTTGAAGACACTGTACCTGTGATTATTATTAATATTATTATTTCTATGTGAGTTTGCGTCAGGAAAATATTATAGGAGTGATAACATCACTCTTATTATTATTAATAAAAAGCATTTTTATAGCGCCTTTACACAAAATGATCAAAGCGCTGTACATTAAACCCCATTTTTACAATAAAATATATATCAAAAATGAGGCTCATTTGAGGTTAGTTTAATTTCTACAAAAATATGTAAACTTAAACCGAAAGGTCCACTGATTAATCTCAGATAAGAAAGTATAATACATACTCCAAGTATTGAAATACACGCCATCGTGTTGGGATTCAATATTTCGACAATAATTATGTCATCATCAGGAATGTGTAAACTTCACCGATTATTTTAATATTTAGTGCACCCTAAGTTCACCATTATTTAATGCACGCTCATTTACTGAGGGTTCAATAAATAATTGATGAACTGGGACTGATAAACATACTCAGTATAATGAGCGTGCATTTTAACTGACAAACATACTCAGTAAATACACGCTCATTTACTGAGTATGTTTGTCAGTCCCAGTTCATCAATTATTTATTTCACCCTCAATTCTGCATGTATTTAGAGAACCCTCAGTTCTTCAGGTGTGACTATCCCTTCAGTTCATCAATTAATTAATCTAAATTTGTATTCCTGCAGCACTTCGGATCTAGGAGTTGGGAGAACTCTACTTGCTGGTGGTACCGCAGGGATTATGAACTGTGTTTACGCCTTTCCACCAGATACCCTCAAATCAAGAACACAAACTGGTACAAATTTGATCAAATTTTTTCTTCACTTTTGCAAACACCATTGAGTACCAATATCCATTTGAATTCATTTCATAGTATACATACAACAATGAGGATCGATTTAAGGAGAATTAAAGTGTAATGATTATATTCATTTATATTTCTTTTTTCCATCATTCACACGTACATCAAGAATTTCAAAATTAATTTTGAAATTTAGAACATCTCATCTAAAGCAAACCCGAGTTAAATAGAATTCACTCGGGTTTAAGCACAACCTTTTCAATGTTTACATTAGATAATAGCCAACCTTGATTATCAGGATTAATGAGCCTCCGGGGAGTATCCGTAAACAGATTACTAAGCAGCCCTGTCTACAAAATAAAAATCAATAATTGTTACTGATTAATATTTGTTAACCTATGTAATGTAAATATAAATAAGGTACAATATTTTTAACAGTTCGAATCACGAAAAACAGATCAGAAAAACAGAAGTTTGGGTGCGGCCCTTTGTGTTATATCAAAAATTCACTTTGGCCCTCCAACCGATTTTTATGTCCACCATTGCCTTAAGTAATGGTCTTTGGTCTCTAGGGCAAAAAGACTATCATTTTCATGTTTCGTCGTTTACAGCTCCTGTAGGAAAGTATCGTAATCTTCGTCATGTGTTTATATCACTCTACAAGGAAGAAGGACTGATGTCTCTTTACAAAGGATTCTCAGCAGGGATCATTAGGGCATTCCCAGCAAATGCTGTAAGTCTTCATGGTTGTTTGGATCGGGTTTGTGGTTGAGTTGAGCTGTGTTCAGGTTGAATGGACAACAGATTCATATTCTTTTATTGACATCACTAAACAAAATACTCTCCCACAATTTGCAAGAGTCTCCTGAAAATCTGGAAGACTTCCCGATATTTTCATTGTTTTTAATAAGCTGTATTATCAGTTGCCTCCTGGAAGTCAGTGCTGATGGGATCCCCTTTCATAGCAAAATAAATATGTTAACTAAGCTCATTTAAACAGGTCTACTGGATCTTCCAACTTAGGACCCCTGCTTTTTTAAAAGATATATAATACCGTTTTGTAGGTCAAGGTTTTTAAGTACATTTATAATACATTTATGTTTCTTATTGGTGACTCAGTGTATCAGTTGTAGTGTATCTCTAACATAATGCTTCTTGTTCTTGAAAAAAAATTCTTCATTTGTGGCAGCAATGACTGCAATTTTAACTAATTAGGAAGAAAAGATTTTTTGAATTCTACAGGTGACATAATTTATGATGTGGTTGTTATTTTTCCCCTGTTTAGGCTTGTTTATGCGGGTTTGAACTAGCATTACGATTTCTCAATTGGGTTGCTCCTGGTTTTTAATGGTAACCTTGCAAGTAATAAGCTGTTTTTGTAAGTATATTGTGGTTCACCTGAAATTATTATATTCTGTTTTATCGTTATAATAAATTGACACTGTTTTAACGTATAAGAACTAAAGATTTAAGCCAGTTTCTTTGTTTGCAATTTGTTTTTATGATATCCTACACCAAGTAAAAACTATAAATACGTAAAATCTAAAAGTAGATGAAAAGAGAAATAAATGTTGTTGATTGAAAAAATGAATATACTTAGCTTTCAATTCAATGAACAAAAAAAAAAAGTAATTTTCTGGCCAAATTACAGACACAAATCCATTCCTATATTTTATGCATTGTTTCATAGTCCCTTTGATTGGTTGACAATTAATACCATAGTTCCACTGGTTTTTTCGCCCACTCTCTCAAACACAAAATCGGACCAATTTTTGGGTGAGGGCTTACTGTATAATCGGAGAATCCTTTTTAATCAATTGGCAGTGTTTCAGCACTGCCTCATTCAATGCCAATATTTAATGGGTTTTTTTCTGTGAATATTTGTTATTTTCTGGGCTTTTGCCTGAGGAAATGTTGGTACATAAACTTGGGCATAAAGTTGGGGGTGGACTTATACCCAAGGAATTATGGTATAAGAATTGAAGTATTAAGCCAGTCTCACATGTTGAAATTTGTTTTTACGATATTCTACTATACTGTAAATAAGTAAAAATTTGATCGTTGTCCTAGGAAGTACTGTAGATAACTTGTTTTTCCCATATAATTACCAATTAAATATTTATAAATGTACAGTTTTTAATTCAAATATTGAATTTTGTGATTTTACTATAAATAGTACAGTATATGCTTAGGTTTGATAAATAATGTTCTCATAAAATTTTGTTTTTAATTTCTTTTTATAGATCTGCAAGTTGGCACCCAAGTACTTTAATAAACATTAAACAAATCTCTAAAAATATCACTAAAAAGGTGGAATTTCAAAAATCCTCACAAACGAACATGATTCCCAATTTATATCGGGTAAGAACACTGCTTACATGATATGCTAATTCAAGAATCATTTTTGTTGGTGATGCTTTCAAAACTCCACTTTTATTCAATTATATTGCATAAGCTGTTACACTGCTAAAGCCTACCATACACTTTCAGATGACTTGGTGGAAAAAAACAAATCAGATTTACTGATGGTTGACCAGAGAGAATTTGAAGAGTATAAAGACCTAAGTTTAATTAGGTTTGTAATATAGAATTATATAAATACTATAGCATCAATTTTTAAATTATGTTATTTAACAGGAAGCCAGTGGTTTTGAAGAAGATTTGAGCATGTTGTAATATGCTGAAATCAGGGGTGGTGGCAGCATTTGTCCGACAGGGGTTCATGGTCCACGACCTGTCTCTTATACTGGTGATGTCACTCCCCAATGAATTGTGAGACTGTAAACCTAAAGTACAAGAATAAATTATACATATTTGCTACACTTTTTTTTATTAGAAACTATAGTGTACTTGTACCACTGTGCAAAAATGTTGTATGTATGTAACAAATTTTAAATCTGAGATATGACAATGAGATTTTATACAGTATGAAACATATTTTGCTTGAATTTGCTTTAATATTGTGTGTCTAACGACTATGCAGTACTATGGTAGTACAGTATTTATCTTTGTGAACACTCATTTTTGACGATAACACACAATAATAGGGTCACATGACAGCCATCGATAGGTAATTAGTAAATTTACGTTGTTTTATTATAGAGTATTTAATTTTAATTCGTATAACAATATCATAAACTGCATTCCTTTTGATCGGGTTCGATCAGTCGGGTGAGAAGCATCCTTATCGTGTGCAGTGACACATAGACAATTGTTTGTACTTAAAACTAAAAATATGGTGAGCACATACTTATAACCGTTTATATGAATACAGCAGACTTCTCATAATAATTATCAATGTCTAATATGTCTATATAGTCACCAGACATTAAAATTAAAATGGACACAAAAAGAAAAAAAAAACATAAACAGTTTGAGGTGAAAACCATGATGATTAACAAAATTACGTTATTTTGGAAAATAACATGTTACGTTTTTCGATTGTTGGATTTTTTTTATTATTTTTTCGGCTCGTGGCCAACAATATGCCATTAAACTTAATCATTTTACTAAGTGGAAGTCCTTTCACAAAATATATAAACATTATATGCTCTACATAAACTCTCTTTTGAGGCTTAGGGAGTGGAGTTGTTCTGGTCTTTAAATCAACAAGGATTTATATAGCGCCAATATTCACGGCAGAATGCAATGTTCAGTGGCGCTATGACAGTGGCATTAACTACTGATGTTAATTAACCATGCTTGTAAGATTATGAAAAAATGTTGTTTTTTTTTTTTTTTTTTAATACAAAAACAAACAACAAAACTTGAAATGAGATGGAGAAGGGATAAGTTTTTAACTTTTTCATAAACATACTGACAGAAGATGAGTTTCTGATTTCATGAGGAACAGCATTCCATAATGTAGGAGCAGCACATGAGAATATACGTTTACCCACGTTTTTTTCAGTCGTGAGAAAAAAAAAACTTACCGTGACAGAAATTGAACCCAGGACCCTGAAAGTTAGAAAGCAAGTATCTTGACAACCAAGCTATTCAACTCAAATTATAAAAACCACTATTTCAACAACAAAAAATAGTGATTCTTATCTACATTTTACATGTACCATGAACTTTGGTGTGTTTTCGGTGATAACTGGCTTCACTTGAATCAAAAATTTTGTTGGATATCAATCAACAACAGATCCAGGGACGAGTGAGATATAAAGGTATGTTAATAAAATAATGTCTTGTTTTCAACAGCTGTACAAATATATAATTTATATATTTATTTATTTATTAATATATTTATATATTTGTTTTAATAGTAGATTTGTATTTAGAAGAGAATTTTTGTATCGCAAGAATTGCCATTTCATTGATTTCCTAATTTCTGTCTTAACTAAAGTTTGTTGGGTTAGAAAAATGTGTAGTTCGTGATGACAAATTGGTTAAAATTGTCGACACCATAAGCAATGAGAGATTATTAAATGTCTCTGTATTCAGCTTATCTATCTATACATTTCGATCGTAAAGTAATTGTAGTGTATTTCAACTTTAATGTCACTTCTGCACTTCCAAGTTTTTTCGGTACATTTTCTTGGTATGCCTGTGGATTTTAATATTTCATGAATAGTACTGTATTACATAAACCTCTTTCCACATTATCAAATTTTTTCCGACAACTGAAAATTTAATCTGCGCTTCGTCTATGGATGTGGTATGAATTCTTCATGCCCATATTAGGGTAAATCATGAATCCTGAGACATTGTCTGAGATAAATCACAAATATCTTTTTGCATACAACTTGATACTGTGCCAACAAAGCTTTCCTAATGCATGCAGATTAATGAGAAAATCAAGGTACAGTATTTGCAAGACTGCACCTTTTAACGTCACCCCTGTGTACAAACTAAATAAGCCCTTGTGACACAATCTACATCATGCAAATAATTACAAAATATTTTTCTTTTATCAGGATGGCAGGTTTTCAACAAATGCAATGCTACTGTTCGTTGTGAAAATGTTTTTTGTATTGTTTCTATGAAGGAAATACACAATAGTTTGGAGTATGGGATAGGAGAAATTTTTTTCTATGTGGAGATCAATTATTGGCAATTATTTGTGTAAACAAAGGTCAATAGTAGGATCTAGTAAAGTTGAAATCTCAATTGAAAGGAAGTTCGATAACTCGATAGAAATGGGGAAAACAAATGAAGGGATGCGCCGTGACGATTCAATAACAGACCAAATTGGCACCGAACTAAACACCCCACTAACTTCTATCCAAACTGACAGGCCTAAGTTAGGTAATGAGGATGACGAAGATGACAATTCGAAAACCGCTGTTGATGATATAAATCGCTCTTCATCATCCATTTTGTTTGTACTAATATACAGCGTTTGGATAATTAGCTTTGTTGTCGGCTGGTGGGGAATCATTTCCAAAGTCTTTTTTATTTTCTTTTACTTGACAGAGATCGTCTGGTATACGTTTCTTGGTATAGCACGGAACTCCCATAAAGTTGGTCCATACGTGCTTTTTGTTCTGATTTTCTTAGCGTACTCTTTTCCTGTACTGACCGGTTATTACGATGATTACTGTCAATTACTAACGAAAATTATAATAATTATGAAGCTTATATTGAAGGATAAAAGAAAGGAGGAACAAAAAAATAAAGTGTGAGAAAAAATCGAGTATGCAATTGAATAAGCCAACAGATATACCGGCTGCACAAAGTATTCAGACTGCAGATAATAAATACAACGATATGGACATATGTACATCACTGCGGTCAACATGCCTCATAACATGGCAATCGATCAGGGAGTCTTTGACTTTATTGTTGATAAATATCAGCCCACAGGCCCGAACAAAATTGCGCGCAATTAGTTCGTATCTCTACTTTGCAGTTCTACTTTACTGCGGCATAGAAGCTCTTCTCGGACTTAATGAGTTTAGTAATGATTCAGATGAAATAAAACTGTTTATATCAATCCTAATTGCCGGTATACTGCCAACACTTACGAGAATTGTCCAAAATCAGGGCCAGAAAAGAAGGGAACATATATACGCGTGATGGAAATGAGAAGATATATTGAGATGTGTTTTGTGACGGGTAGACCATACAGAGACGTTGGGTGCAAGTGGCCAACCGAAGACAATGTCCCCATTGAAAATACAGATACTAAATTTGTCGAGAGGTCATTTGAAAATACGGACTATCTATATACAACTAGATACCGCCATTTTGACTGTTAACATTGTAGAAATCCGATTTCATGCGGTATTTTAAAAACTTTTGTTATTAAAATACTATTAGTTAACTTCTGTTATCATTATTATTCCGCAGTATCATATTGTTATATTATAATTGCATTATTTTGTTTCCCTGTACGCTTTTCATATTTTGATGTGTGTGTGCGTGTGTGTGTGTGTGTGTGTTTGTCTCTTTCTTTGTATCTATTTCCGGAATTATTGCTTAATTGTTTTGATAATATCCAGGGCACGCTCGCTACAAGTGCCATCTTAGAATTCTTTTTTTTTTAATTCACTTGGCATTCCCTTTAGAGCACTGCCCCTTCCAATTAATCAAATCTGTTTATTTTAACGTTTCTTGCCTTTTTATGATCTTTTGATCTTTTTTGATCTTAACTTCTTTATTTTATTGTTTGAATGATTTGATTTGATTTGATGTAGAAGAAATAAATGTTTATTTGAATTTGAACTGTTTATTTGAATTGTTTCCAGAGCTCATTGTCATTAGCAAAAAGAAGTGAAAATTTAAACCGTAGGCTACCTAGTTATGATTTAACCATAATAGTTTTGCTCATAACTTTGGCAATGTAAGTCGATTCCGGTAAATGACCTATCGAGTATTGTCTAAAGCTTTAATTGAGAAGAATATGAATATATTGAAAGTCGCTGATACTGGTTTAACATCTCAAATATATAAAAATAAAATAAATAGGTGGAATTTTGAAAATCTTCACTAATGTGTTGCACAACTTTAATAGAAGCAAGTGTGAAAGCCCACCGTACGCTTTCATGCGACCTGGTGAAACAAAGACAACGGAGATACTGGTAGTTGATCTGAGTGGTCATGAAGAGGAATAAGACTTAAGTTCAATTAGTTTTTAATATATGGTGGTGATTAATCAATATTAAGTAATTCGTACAATATAATAAAATAAATTTGAAAATAATGTGTTGTTTGACAAGAAGCCAGTGGTTTTGATTTGAGCATGGTATAATATGCTCAAATTTTGGTTTGCTCAACTGATCTGCAGTATTTAAAGGTATAGGACCTACTGTTGCCAACACATTTTTAAAAAATAAAATAAATTAATAGCACATTAAAAGGATCAAATAATTAAGTTATTAAATTCCAAACAGATGTGCCGTTAAGCTCTTGGTCCCATATACCGGTAATAATAGATCTGTGCACAGAAAAAAGAAAACTGACTCTTTCGAAAAACTAAAGGCCAACTCAGACAGTGTCGTACGACGCAGCCCGACGCGATTTGTTGTCGCGTCTGCGTTCAACTCACACAGACCCGACGAGTCTGTGTTGGCCTTAAGGGGTTGTCTCGCGGTGTGCTGACCAGTTTACTTTCTTCTTATGTCATTTTACATGCACATATAGGCCTATATGTCGAGTTAGTAGAGATTCCCGCTCATATGTAAGACAGTATTGGAAGTCTTTAGCCATGTGCCGAATTATAAATTAATAACCCCAATTTCATAACTTATTAAATTTTCATAATTTCTCTCATGGTCATACCTAGCAATGTTGAGTCAACTGATGCAAATCAGTCAATGACGGCCATATGTTTTCTATGAAAGAAAAAGGCTAGGAAGACTAGTAACAAGTAAGTAGTATTATTAGGCTTAACATCTTGCTAGGCCTTTGAATTTAAATATTTGATACATATTAAATAATGTATTACATAAACCTCTGTCCATAAAATCAAATTATTTTTATGTGACAAATATTTATTATTTGCCCATTTATGGGCGTGATATGACATCATCATGCCATACATGGGTAAATCATGAGACAATGTCTAGAGTAAATCACAAGTGTCTGTGGCATACACCTTGGATATACTGGGGGGGTCCAGACGGTGCGATCGCACCGTCCCTAACTTGCCTTAAGCAAAATAATTGTACTGTATTGTTGATATGAATTGCCAGTAAGATTTTTAAGGTACGAGAGTGCAATTTCCGGGCACTAGAGGTCCATATATTCTCAGAATCCTGTGTCCCACCCAGATACAGGCCTATGTGAACAGAGCTCCACCAATCCATGCATATCCATGAAAATAAGTGTACATTGCAAGATTGAACCTGTTACGCCACCCTATAGGCAAATAAGTCCACTTGAGTCACAATCTACACCACGCAAAAATGTTTACATAGTAATTTTATATTTTTCAGGATGGCAGGGCTTCGACAAATACTAATGCTTCTGGTCGTTGTGAAATTGTTTTCGTGTGTTGTTTCTATGAAGGAAATACAAAATAATTTGGAGTATGGGATGAGAGAAAATGTTTCTATGTGGAGATCAATAACTGACCGACAACATTATGAAGTAGATGAAGTCAAGAAGTCGTTAGCTGATCACGAATTTCGAAGCAAACGTGAAGAAGAAAAAGTCACGGAAAACACTTTTATATATAATGAACAATGCCTCATATATTTAGATTCAGAAGTACTCCGCCAAGACTTAGCGTCTGGTGGAACGTTCGTCCATGTTTTTCTCTCAGTTTTGGATGGTGATCATAACAGTATTTTAGTAAACGAATCAGAATCCAGAGTGATCAATCCGGAGCACTGGGCTTGGATTGTAGGAACAGAAGGACTTCATCTGGCCAGACTTCCATTTGACTTTACTTTTCTCTCTCTCGGCACCCTAAAAACCGGTGTAAATAAAGTCACTATTGAAGCTAACGTCAGTGATATTACATGCTTCAATCAAGCCAATGACGAAGGCCGATTAAAAATAATTGCAAACTCTATCCTAAATAGTGTTAATACAACAACACAACTAACGCTTAATTCAATCTGCATTGAAAAGTTAAAATTGCGCGAAGATCTCCAAATTTCTTGGTACTATATTAATTTTGTGAGTTCATATCTGATTTTTCAAATTAATACTTATTATGAATGCTGGGGACATTCTGAAACAACTTTCAAAATCGATCGTGAAGAATACGGTCTTCAACTTACTGTTGTATTCGTGATCAGTTTTATGTTAAGTTTGTTTTTTCCACTTTTTCTTGGATTCTTTCATCGGATAGCTCCAATCGTTTATAAATCACCAGTTGCTGATTCAGGTGGAAACGATGTACCTGATAATAAAATATCCGAAGAGGTTCCCATTTCCCCCTTGATAATAATCCACCAACCGATTTCTGAGGATGACTTATCAGCAACATCGAAGAAGTTCCTGAGCTTAGAAACGGATTTATCTTTGGGGATTAAGCATTCTCTTCTCTACTTTGGTAATTGTCACAGAGTCATTTTTATCGCAAGATGGATTTTCTATATTCTTTTATTTATCGCACTACCATATATCCCAATATCCCTTGTGCAATCGGCAGACGAACTGGATTTCAGCAAAAGGCGGGAAAAAACGTTTAGCAATGATATTTTGAATGCCAACTTCAACATATTTTCTCACATTTTTTTCAATTTAGCTATATTCCTGATGTTCTCTATTGTTCTCTATTTCAAGGTTGTGTATCCTGATAAATTCAGCATTGCAGTAAATGAAAAAGAAAGTCAAAGAAAAAAATGGCTGTGGTGGAAAGATCTGCCAGACAAATTAAAAATCCCTAACGACGAATATAAAGGAACACAGAAATTCCTTTTCCTTTTAACGACCCGAATGAAGATGGGAGCTGGTGTTCAGATTTGGAGATATGGACTTGATATTTATAAAGACCTTATTAGCAGTCGCTTTAAAGGAATGACAAGGGTATTGCTTTTCATTATTTTAGCGTTACCATTTTTCATCGTATTTCTCTTTTCTGTTCTACTTTTATCAATTCCGACACTTTATTGCTTTACTCGAGTTGTTTTGTTTAGTGTGTCTTTTCGTGTACTCAATGACGCAGGGGATACATCGCCCAATGACATCAATTTTACAGAGAGGTTCAAGAGACGCTTAAGCAATTCTATCGAGAGATATTTTAAAGATGACTCCACTGATGCTGGCTTTACCAATGCTAAAATTTGTCACTCTGAAGCAAATAATGTCAACGATGACACTGAGTGCGAACAAAGCTCAATAGTAGGATCTAGTCAAGATTTAACAACAGAAATTTCAACCAGTAAGGTTGCTATTTCAACTGAAAGAAACGACAATTCTGTAGAAGTGGAAAGAATAAATGAAAAGTTGTGTAGTGACAATTCAATTGCAGACCAAATTAGCAAAGAGCAACATATCCCACTAACTTCTATCCAACCTGACAGTTCTAAGCTAGGTGATGAGGATGATGAAGATGATAATTCGAAAAATGCAGTTGATTCTTTCCCTCAAGTAAAAGGTGATATAAATCGCTCCTTAATATCCGTTATTTTTGTACCCATTTATGGCGTTTGGGTACTTAGCTTTGTTTTCGGTTGGTGGGGAATCATTTCCAAAGTCTTTTTTATTTTCTTTTACTTGACAGAGATCGTCTGGTATACGTTTCTTGGTATAGCATGGAACTCCCATAAGGTTGGTCCATACGTGCTTTTTGTTCTGATTTTCTTAGCGTATTCTGTTCCTGTACTGACCGGTTATTACGATGATTACTGTCAATTACTAACGAAAATTATAATAATTATGAAGCTTATATTGAAGGATAAAAGAAAGGAGGAACAGAAAAATAAAGTCTGCGGAGAAAACTGGAGTATGAATTTGAATAGGCCATCATACTTACCGGCAGCCCAAGATATTCAGACTGCAGATAATACTGCTGTAAGTCTTGTCAAACAACGATATGGACATGTGTACATCACTGCAGTCAACATGCCTTATAACATGGCCATCAATCGGGAACTGTTTGATTACATAGTTGGAAAATACCAGCCCACAGGCCCGAATAAAATTGCTCGCTTAGTTCGTATCTTTACTTTTGCCATTCTACTTTACTGCGGAATAGAAGCTCTTCTCGGACTTAATGAGTTTAGTAATGTTTCAGATGAAATAAAACTGTTTATATCAATCCTTATTGCAGGTATACTGCCAACACTTACAAGAATAGTTCAAAATCAGGGCCAGAAAACAAGAGAACAAAGTATACGCGTGATGGAGATGAGAAGAGATGTTGAGATGTATTTTGTAACAGGTAAACCATACAGGGATGTTGGATACAAGTGGCCAACTGAAAACAACATCCTCGTTGAAAAGACAGAAACCAAATTTGATGACGAGGGAACGTTAGACAACATGGTCTATCGCCTATACGTTTAGGTACTGACTTGCTGACCAAACATTATACAAATAAAATTTCATGCAGTATTCTAGAATCTACCTTTTATATTTGTAGTAAGTCTAATTTATACTCATGCTACTAAGTAAATAGGCTGATTATGATTAATGTAGGTCCATGAAAGTAATCACCTCTGATTTTAAAAAGGACACGAATTCACATAATAGCAACACCAGCCACCAAATAGCAATTACTTTCTAAAGTAAATTATAGCTCAACCCGAAATATCTGCAATATTCTGTTCCTTGTATAAACGATTTCTTTTCAAGTTACAACAAAGCCGTGTTTACTTGAAAAATATTTGCTGCCGGTAGTTGATGTTCAAAACACTTTGCCGGTCGCTAGGGACTCACCTCTTGTTCACCAAGCAACACTAATAATATAGACCCTTCATGGTTTAGGCACAATAAGATATTCATTTGAGGTTTAATACTCAACGAGCTACGACTAGTATAGAAAGAGAAGACATTCGTATAAAATGGCGACTGAAATCCCGTCCGATATTGACATGGTCCAGCGAGATCCGTCTGATCTAAATTCACACGTCAAGGTACGTTTGAAATTGCAATTAGGCTTAAATAACAGATTTATAGATATCAGATTATCAGATAAAATGAAATAAAGGTCTCCCTCTAATTTAATGACCCCTCCAATTAAAGACCATTTTTCTGTGGTCCCAACTATCTTTTATCTTTATTATTGTGATTAGAGACCAAAGCTGCTAAAAAGATCATGGAAACCACGGTCCCAAAATTGGTCTTTAATTGAACGGAGACATGTAGTACATATCCTTATGATTAGATAGTGTTTTAATCTAACCCACTGACATGTTTTATTATCATATGACATTTATAATATTTTACGTCATTTTTATTACAGAACACAACTAATAATTTTGTGATTTTGTTGTTTAGGTAATGTTTGAAGAAGTTCTTGGAGAACCCGATGGTTCCCATAGCATCGATGGTGTTTGGAGATGTGCTTTCAAATGTTTCGAAGGATCCAGAAATCTGTGCTACCGTATTCTCACTGCAATCTGCGCCGTGCCTCTGGCGTTTTGCTGGGGTTGTGAGTTCGCTTTTCTCTCCTTCTACCACGTCTGGTGCGTGACACCCTACCTCAAAGCCTACATCATTAATATCAACTCCTGCAAGATCATGTACAGGGCTTGCTGTTCCGCTTGCTGTGACCCGTGCTTCGAATCCGTTGGCAGATGTTTGTCAGATATTCGTGTTACATATGTCAATCAGTAACCTTCATACCAACATTTGTATTTACAAGTTATTCAGGGAAAAATCGTCAATATTTTGCTACTATAAAAAGCAACTACTATAAACTTTGGTTTATGATACAGTAATTGAATTAACAATTATTGTATCATTATGTGTGATAATAATTTTGTTTTCCTAGATTGTGTGTGACAATAAGTCATTTGCTGCGATTATGACTTGTACAATAATTATGTATTTCTTTTGAAAGTGTCTTAATCAAATATGTATAGTTCATGAACTATTTATGACATTATTAGGTGATTTACATTCATTATCTCCATGAATTATTCTCACAATTAAATCATACACTAAGTAACATGGAGACATTATTATCGCGTGTGACTTATTTGAAGAGACGATATCTTAGGAATTATAAAAATGTGTGAAATAATTATGAACTTCATTATGATAGTAAATGTGGATTGTTTGAATTCATTTTGTTGTATGGACGTTCTTCTATATTTTCGTTTAATGTATTGTGCGTTTTAGAAGGGTGTCAGTGCGTATATGTATCAAACACTGCTACGGCATAGAAGCTCTCCTCTGAATTCAGTAATGTGTCAGATGAAATTAAACCGTTTATATTTAATTGTCGGTAAACTGCCAGCAGGAAGCCAGCTAAATAATGATATCATTGTTCAGAATATAATGGCTGGTGAATCCCATTAGGAATAGGAGTTATTTTTCCTATATAAAATACCATCTCTATATTTTGGAGTAAAACAGAAAAAATAAAATAACAAGAGAACAGAGTATACGCGTGATGGAGAGATGGAGATATTGAGATGTATTTTGTGAGGTGAACCATACAGGGATGTTGGATGCCAAAATGTAGATCACTTATGTCATTAGGCCTCTAAAGTTTACACTAACATCTAGAATCTTGTAGGCCTAGCTGCTGGCACTAAATTACCATTAAACAAAATAAATTCCATGCATCATTATTTCGGCAGATAATTTATATTTATGCTACTGTACTGATTAATGTTAGATAAGCATTAATGAGGTGAAAAATAATAACATGTCATTAAAAATATTTTAAAATTCCGTTATTTTGATTATTTACTTTCTGAGAATTCAAGTAGGCCTAACTTTTTTTTATTGCTGTACCTGAATTATCTCAACATCCTGCATCTTCATGGAATGTGTTTCACAAAAAGCTTCAACAAAGCTGTATTTACCGTTGGAAAATATTTGTTTTCAGTTTCAAAGGAGCCGTGACACTGGGCTTCAAATGTATACTGTTATTTACTTATTATATTGCGCCATGTCCAACACTTTGATGCGACTACAAAAGAGCGTTATAGCTTTATATAATTTCATCTCGTTGTGCATCATCCTACAATACACGGGTACCGTACATAGGCTAGCTCACCGGTAGGTCACCTAATCAATAAATCACTAACAACAAAGAACACGAGCCAAAGCCAAGTTCACATGCAGCGTTAGTCATTATTAATACTCTCGACGACGTGTATGGATTTTCTTGTTCCACTTCAACGATTCAAATCCATGCATAGAAATTTCCATAGAATCATATATTCAAAAATAATATTACTGGCATATTCCTAACTAGACAAAATATAACGTTATTTAGGCCTACTCTGAGAATTCAAGACACTTATAACTCAACCCAAAATACATACAATAGTCTGCACCTCAGTTTCACCGGTTTCACTTAAAAGCTATGGTGTTTCGTTGACATTTTTTACCGCCTACAGTTGGTGTTCAAAGCCTGTCGCTAAGGACACTTTGCTTCACCAAGCAACACTAATAATATGAATTTCCGTTGGTTACACGCCATAAAATTATCATTTAGAATTTGCTTCTACTCAACGAGCTACGACTAGTGTAGAAAGAAGAATGCATTAATATAATATACTGTATGGCAACCATGTTTCCTTACGACGTCGACATGGTAAATCGGGATCCGACTGATCAAAACTCACACGTCAAGGTATCGTTTGAAAGTGTACTTAAATAAGGTTTTTTTTTTACAGATCACTTGATAAAATGAATATATAATACATAGGCCAACCTTAATGATCACATTTGATATATTTTGTAATCCACACGAAACGTAAATGTATAGTATATATCATGAAAAAGCTATTTTGATACGAAGTCAGTTCATGGGTGAAATAATGTTGCAGATAGCAATCAGCCTTGGTGACTGTATATACTCATGTAGGTACAAAATATACTGTACAAAATAAATTGACGTTGTTCATAGTTAGATAACCATTCTCATATATTGGCAATTCACATAAACTTTTACGCATGAGACGTGGTAGTGTGACATAACTTAAGATGGAGTGTTCTTTTAAAAGAATATTTTGTTGATATTTACAACACGTTTGCAATTTAATTTTGAAGGTTTATAAAGTTATTATATTTCATTGTTATTATAGCTCAGGCGTCCTGAATTATCAATTACAATACAATGACATTTGAATTGTACCATTTTTTATTACGGTGATTTTTTTTCAGGTGAGTTTTGAGGAAGTTCTTGGAGAACCCGATGGTTCCCACAGCATTGATGGTGTTTGGAGATGTGCTTTCAAATGCTTCGAAGGAACCCGAAACCTCTGCTATCGGATCCTCACTACATTGTGTGCCGTGCCTCTGGCGTTCTGTTGGGGTTGTGAGTTCGCTTTTCTCTCCTTCTACCACATATGGTGCGTGACACCCTACCTCAAAGCCTACATAATTAATATCAACTCCTGCAAGATCATGTACAGGGCTTGCTGTTCTGCTTGCTGTGACCCGTGCTTCGAATCTGCCGGCCGATGTTTGTCAGATATTCGTATTACAAAAATCAATGAATAACCTACTTTATCCCAGTATCTACAAGTTAGGCTATTATGAAATATCAACTTAACTTCCATTTACTCAGGTCTCTACTCTGGTGGAGTTTGTGACTTTGTTGTTAATAGCATCATCTTTCAAACAACTGTTAGCAGAAAATCTACACTCATTTGAAGTACTATTAGAAGAACTCATTTTGAAGAACTCATGTTTTTTGTTTTCACAAAAATACAATTTCCGAAAGAATGCACGAGACATTGAAATGTAGAGAAAATTAGTTCTAATATATTTTATGATAATTAGTTAGTGCCACACAGGATACACACACATATGCATATATATATATATATATATACATATATATATATATAAATCAAGGTAGCCGTTAACACTGTTAAATCATATATAAATCATCAAAGAAACCATGAAGCCTCCGTGGTCTAGTGGTTATGGGCAAATCAAATCAACATAGTATAGTAGATGTAGAATTACATCGAATCTACACTCAATATTTGTTGCAGTAAATCACAATTTTTATAATCTGTTTGAATTTGTTTTTATATAAGAGCATTCTTGGTGGAATTTGGGCCATTTTGAATGCGCATTATTGTCAAACTCTGAATAAAAATTAGAAGTGAAAATTGATCTAAATGCAAGTCATGAATTATCATTGCCTTAAGATTATACTCCTTTAAGTTCAGATTATATAATTTAGGGATCTTAAATCAGCTAGGTTTATATGTTTTATTACGGGCAATACGTTATTTTAAAACAACTATATATCTACACAATGGAGGCTTACATACAGTTTATCAAATTACATTATTTGAATATCTATGTCATGCTTAGTACAGATTTGTTTTATTTTCAAAAGGCTTTTGTAAGTGACACTTGACGTATACCATTATTATCGCGCCTTGTCGTGTTGATCGTTGATGCATAACCTTTTTCACAGATCAGAATTAATTTTTTCACAGAATCAATTTTTTACAGAGTCGTATATTATCATCTCACTTTGTCATCAACCATACAAAGCCTCAATAAGCTCATCAGTAGATGATATGATCGATACCACAGCAACTAATCATAATATTAGGCTAATGGTTAAGTGTAACTGACTCTAGGCTTCTTGTTGCACCATTGAAATCTAATTATTGTATACTGTATAATTATAGGCCTAGCTATATTTTATGGGCTGCAGGTGTATTGATGGTTAAGTGCTTTCATGTAAACAATGCAAAAATCTACAGTAAAGTAATAGTTCTTTTAATTCTTTCCTCCATGCTAGTCTGTACCATTGCGAAAAAAAGGCCACAATTCATAGGAGAGAAAACAATTATATGTATCTCTAAACTCGCTAAAATAAGCCTATGAAACTACTTCCGAGAGATTGTGAGTGACGCCCTACACCACGCCCATTACGTTTTTGACAAGAGACAACCCACCGCCCCACCACACGTCGGGGACATTGGAACCCTCGTCGGGCAATTCCTCACGCTACCCATGTAATACTTGCATATTTCTTTTTTCACAATTAAAATATGGAACGCTGTTTATATAACGATTGTCCTGTACTGCGCTACTCAGCCAGTAACGCTTCTTTTATTGCATTCACGAGTTGTGACGATGTTCACGGGTTCGTTGGAACGTGGCATAAAAGAGCACTGCACGACGTACCAAACAAATATTTAAAACAATCGCTACAATAATCAGAATTAATTTATGTCACAAATATCAAGTGTTTCGAGTAAATGTTTTACTTTCTGTCTGAATCTTCGGCATTAAATCTATCATATCGTAACAGAAAAAAATAAAGTTGGGTCGTGGATTATTTTCTTCCCTCTCTCTATTTCATGGAGCTATAATATGCCCAATTAATTTTGTTTTGGTTCAATCTTTGCAAAACTTCGATAATTAAAACCTATTCTATTCTGCACTTTGCATTGTTACCTTCAGGGACGGTGGTTCGAACCTTACGCTGTCCATTTCATTTAACCGGTAATTTTAACTAGCTAAGGCCCTAGCCGTGCAAAAGAGTATTTTAGAAACGTAAACATGAGTCTTTGAGATGAAATCCGAGAAACCGTATTGAAATAGCGTACACACAAATTCCCGGTCACTTGATGAATCGAAAATCGTCGCCTCACTAACTCAATAAAGATTTGTAAAATTTCCAAACAATCTTAAAGTAAACAAACTACGTCGTGAAAGACGTTGTAGAACGCTTCCAATATTTACTCACTAACTTCTTTGGTTAAACGAGACAACAGCACGCATTGCAAAGTTCACCAAAGTGTCGCCAACGGTTACCTAGTCCCCACAATCGAAGCCGTATTTCTCAAACATCAAGTCTTGAGTGTTATGCACGCCAGCTGCGCATAGGTACTTGTCACAAATACTAATCACAGTCCTATTTTGCTAACTTATTTCTGTCCCTAACAATAATTATGTCCGAACCAGATATTGTAGACATGGCACACCGTGACCCAAAGGACTTGAATTCCCATGTTCAGGTAAGTTAGTTTAGTTTAGTACAGGAAACAGTAAAGTTAGTTTGTACGTTTAAAACACACAAGTCTGTAAATATTTATTAAATATTATTTTTTGTATCAGAAGGCAAGAATTCACTTTTATGTACAAATTGGGTGGATTGTGTTAAAAACCCTCGTGTCTGTTTTGTTTTTTAGTGAATAACGTTACTGAAATATGATTCAAAATTATTTCGTCATCTTCATCAACAACATTATCATCATCAATGATTATCATAATTAATATTATCATCATTGATTACAATCGTTGTCGTCGTCGTTATTATTATTATTATTATTATCATCATCATCATCATCATCGTTATTGTCATCATAATCGTAGTAGTGGACGTCGTTGTCGTCATTATCACAGGTTACAGCGACTTGATGGCCTTCTTAAGCCTCTATTCAACTTTTCTGTCTTAATTTTTTTTATCTACTTTTTGTGATGGGATTTTCTGTACCATCTTCAGGTTTTATATGAAGAAGTCCTTGGTGAACCAGAAGGTTCTCATAGTATCGACGGAGTATGGAGATGTGCCTTCAAGTGTTTCAGTGGATCCCGGGACCTATGCTATCGCATTCTTTCGGTGCTGTGTGCCGTTCCTTTGGCTTTCTGTTGGGGCTGTGAGTTCGCAGCCCTCTCCTTCTACCACATCTGGTGTGTGACTCCATTTTTGAAGATGTACGTCATCAACATCAACTCTTGCAAGGTCGTGTATCGCGCTTGCTACTCAGCGTGCTGTGATCCGTGCTTCGAGTCGTGTGGTCGTGTATTCTCTGACATCCGGATGACCAAAATCAACGCCTAGCAAAATATTTCTTTTTATATTTGCGAACGAAAAGAACTATTAAATTATTCTGCTTAAAATTATTTGTTTTTAAGCAAACAAAATAATGCCTAATAATGTGACTGCAAAACAATATGCATAGTCCATGTGTCTGATTTGAAAGTGCGTTGATGTTATAATAGATACACTTTTTTATAAGAACTAATAAAATTTTGCATAGGCTCAGTGTTCTTATTTTTTTGCCGATTTCAGGCTCAAAAAGATCTTATTTGTTCTTATGTTACTCACTTTTCAAACAGAAAATTCTTATTCTTATTCTTTATTGCCAGAAACAATACAAAACAATTATTATTGTATCAGTATACACTATACTGGAATGTAGGTAAAAGCGGTGAAAAAAGATCCCTGAAAAAAATGTCACCAGAAAAAAGGCCCCCGTCAAAATGGCCCAAATTATAAAGAGTATTACATAGTCACACCTACTGCATATAATGTAAAGATATAATCTTTTGAGTTTTCTAGTTTTCTTTTTAAATAAAAATCTCATTTGATATTTTACCTCAGCCTCAATTTTGTCTTATTTTGTTCTTAATTTTTGAGCAATTTCAGCCTCAGTGTTCTTATAAAATGTGTTCTTTTTTTGGAATTATTACTGGGTCATAATCTCTAGAAAACTAACTCAATGTCATTTCGTTTGACAGCAATTTTTTATGATAGCGTGGGTTGTTACTTGACTATGTTGTTTGAATATTAGTGTAAGATACCTTTTCAGGGTATAGGCTTACCGAATAGTTTTTCATGTTTTTAATGGGATGAAATATAGGCCTATCTCTGTTTTAAATTTGAATCCTTAAATGACTGGTGTTTTTATACTAAACACACACACACACCCACACACACACACACACAAAAGTGGGTTGGGTGTTACAAAATATAAACTTTATTTTTACAATCATAAGTATTACGAGTGATGTTCGTTAACATCGTAATGCCCCGGTATTCAAATTCAACTCTGGAACCCGCCGAAGATTTTGATCAGCGCAACATTGTTACAAGTACATATACATATTCGGTTGTTTTTCAGTACTTACATAAAAAGTTGTTCCTGTTAGTAGACTCACGACCACCTACTCTGGTGTTAAAAAGTCTGGCTTTTTCTGAGGAGACTGATGGGAAGTAATGATTAAGTGGAGGCAGTGGCGGCGCCGCTTTTGAAATCTGGGTGGTGGGAGGGAAGGTACAATCTTGGGGGGGGGGCAAGGCCCCCGGGTATCAATTAAAATGTTTCAAAAGTGGTCCAGATGGCGAAGCCATGAAAACTTTTTGACAATTTAGTGGTTTCAGAAGCTTATTTAATCAATTTTATAGATAGAGTCAACCAATATAAGGAAAATACATTTTTTTTGTATCTCTCACGATTTGATGGCCGTACTAGGCCCCTGGTGGGCCCTAGGTGAGCTTTAAAAGGTTGAATACCCGGGCTGTAATGGATGACCGTATGGGTAATAACATTATTTTCCTAATAATAGTAGAGTTTTTAGAGAATATATTATGTTGACCAAATTTTACAATGCTTGGCCATTTATTGGAATATTCTGTAAATAACAAGATTATAGCTTTAGTATCGAGAAACACCTCCACTGGTATCCCGATTTTCTCAAATGTTTATTTAGGCCTATCATGTAGGCCTATGGAATATGCTAGTAGGCCTAAGTACCGGTACATTTTGCTTAGATTCTTAGATCTCTATAAAGCCAAAGATACTGAAAATACAAGATAGAGTTCTCCACACAAAAAAAGTGTTCCACCGTGTTCCACCGAAATGCATGGTGGGAATACGAAAAATGGGACGCCCCCTACAGCTGGA